TCTCTAAAAATACTCATGTCTTGCTGGGCACAATGGAGAATGCCTATAATCCCCGGGGGTTAAGAAACTGAGGCAGGAGGATTGTGAGTTCAAAGCAGCCTCAACTTCTTCATGAGGCACTAAGCAATTCAGCAACACCCTGTCTCTAAATGAAATATAAAAAAGGGCTGGGGATGTAGTTCAGTGGTTTAATGCTCCTGGGTTCAATTCCCAGTGCAACAACAACAACAACAACAACAACAAAAAAAAACCCTCATGTCTCTACCCTTTTTTATTTGTAAGCCAGTTTCCATTCTGGAAAATAACCCCAGCTCTCTGGTTCCATTATGATCAGGTTTTTTGTTTAATTAAAAGAAAACAAACTATCTGTATCCTACAGAATAAGACTTAGTGAGCAAAAAATAGTGATTTTTCTTTTTTTTTTTTTTTGCAGTGCTGAGAACTGAATAGAATAAGATTTAGTAGTCAGAAAAACTAGTGATTTTTTTTTTTTCTTTTTTAAAGTTCAGGGTTTGAACCCAGGGTCTTGTACATGCTAGGCAGGTTCTCTATCACTGGGCTATACTCCCAGCCCTAAACTAGTGATTTTTTTAAGGCAAATAAAAAGTAAAGGCAGAGTCTAGAGATGTGGTTTTACAGTTTTCAAAAAGAAAGGCCTGAATAATATTATCAGAGAATTTTCAGATATTAGAGTATGACTTTGTTTAAAAACTTTATACTCAAAGGAAAAAGAAATTTTGATAGAGATTCTGTTGAGTGCTAAAAAGTCAAGACCAGGGAGCTGCTTCTGACTTGATATATGGGCATTATCTTAACAGAGCCCCACTGTACAGGCTCTAGTTCTTAAGTCAGCAGGAATAGAAGTCATTATTTTAAGTGCACCCAGAAGATTATCAGGCTAGACTGTAGATGGTGTAGTGAGTAAATTGATATGAAATAAATTCATAGAGGAGCAGGGTAGTTCTACTAATTTTGATTATGGTCAAAGATGTGACTTTTGAACTGAAGCCTGAATAACAAGCGGCAGCAATGAGAAGATCTAGAAGAGTCTTCCAGGCTGAAGGAAAGAGTGTGTAAAGTCCCTGAGATGGAAACAAGCTTTGCTTGTTTAGAAAGAAGGCCAGTAGTGTGTTTGGTCAGGTGAGTAGTAAGAGGCAGGGGTAGGTGATGAATTTGGTATCATGGGACAGCTCTTTTATGAGGACCCTATAGAGTTAAAGACATCGAATTTTATTCTAAATGTGGTTAAATGGAGGGAGGTACATAGTTTGATTAACATTTTAAAAGCTTCCTATGCCTGCTATGTGGAGAACAGATTGGTGCAAAAGAAGCTGGGAGATCAGTTAGGAACCAGTAAAATCTGGTCAGGTGAGAGAAAATGGTGGCTTGAACAGAAATGGGTAATTGAGAAGCAGCACAGCTTACAAGTCTTGCTGATTGATAGAATATGAAAAGATAGGGTTCTTGGCTTGAGCGTCTTGGTTGAAGATAGTGCCAGTTAGAATTTTAGTCATTTTAGACACCTCAAATGAATATAATTAAGGAATTGTGAAAATTGTTCTTTTTAATTCTATAGGCTTATGGCAAAAAAGTGATAGAAATCTCTAGGGAGGAAAGACATTGGCTTCTTAGAAACTCAGACTAGAAAATTACTCCAGCATGTTAGAGTACTTTTTAATTAATTAATCTTTTGTAGTAGAGATTGAACCCAGGGGCACTCTACCACTGAGCTACCTCCCCAGGCCTTCTTAATTTTTTTTTTTTTTTTTTTTTAGACAGGGTCATGCTAAGTTGCAGGGCTGGTCTAGAACTTGGGATCCTTCTGTCTTAGCCTTCTGAGTTGCTGGGATTATAGGTGTGCTTCACTGTGCGTGTTTAGATGTTTTATTTTTTAAATTAAAGATGATGAGATGCTAATGCATTAAAAGCCATTGTAAAAGAATTAGGGCGTAGCTGGGCATGGTGGTGCTCACCTGTAATCCCAGCAACTCAGGAGGCTGAGGAGGAGAATCCCAAGTTTGAAGCCAGCCTCAGCAACTGAGCAAAACCCTATCTCAAAAATAAAAGAAAGGGCTGGGGGTGCAAGTCAGTGGAAGAGTGTCCCTGAGTTCAATTTCCCAGTACTGCAGGATGGGGTTGGGGGAGAGGATATAGGGTTTGTTTCTAAGTTCAGTCTTGGAAGTAGGCAAAAACCCATCAATGATTTTCTGAGGTCTCCATTAATAAGGGTGTTTAGTATTCATTAGAACTAAAAAGCATTTGTAGAGTTGTCACTTGAAAATTAAAACCAGAATTGAAAGCTATATTATATTAATGTGTCTTCTCATATTTTTCCAATTTCTGCATGTTGAATAAAAGACTATACTTGATCTAAGAATCAGCAAATCATAGAATTAAAAAGTACTGGATTAGTAGTTAAAAGATTTGCATTCTAACCCAAGTCCCTTAATACGCATGTGACCATGACAAATAGAAATCTTTGTTTCCTTATTTGTAAAATACTTGCCCTGCATGGCTCACAGAACTGTTGAAAATCCCAAATAAGATCATGAATGAAGACCATGAAGCTTTGAAAACAGTACTACTTTTGAGGGGTGTAACTACAGTATAAAGACATTGTGAATTAGCTAAATGAACATTAATTTTAAAAGTCAAAGTTTATAGACGTTAATTATCTATAGAAGTGATTGGGTTAATTACAAGTAATATGAAAGTCTCAAGAATGTTGGACATCAGTTTTGAAGCTGAATTTGAAAGTTATTTGCATCACATGATCTGATTGGATAAAATATTCTGGTTGCAATGTCAATAACCAATAAGTGTGCACTTTGGTTACATGTCTGCAACCAATAATGACCTATTAATGGTTCTCTTTTATGTCATAATAGTTTGCATTTAACATAGTAACCCAACCAAACATTGCTTCAGTTTGTTCTTGACAGTGTAATTGGCAAGCTGTGTGTTAAATTGAGTGTCTTTGGATTTGACTTTTGGACTAGTTTCAAGTAGTCATTGGTCCATTGCCACGTTATACTAATCTCTAATCCAAGAAACACATTCTTATGTATCTTGGAAAGAGTGGATAGTGTTGTTTGAGGCTTACCTCTTTTGTGTGATTGAGATTTTTTCTTTGGTGTAAAATTTTCACTTGAAAATTTTTTACTTAAAACTGTGTAGTTCAGTCTGATAAACTGGACATTGAACTCTGGTAAGTAGAATTTGTTAGCATCTAGAAGACTTTCATAATTTTTCAGTTACAGTCAGTCTTAAAGGGCCTACCCATATACCTGCAGGTAAGGACTTATTTATATCATGGGTAGGACCCTTACCAAATAACCCTTATTTGACTTTTCATCCTATTAATGTCACTTCCTCTCCTTTTCTATTGATATCCTATTGGATGCCTAGAACTGTTTGCTGTGAGCCCAATATCTTCAGCTGAGCCCTTACAATAATTTGTGGCATAGTTATAGTAAGGGCTAGAAGACAAACCTTCTTTTTAAAAGATATTTCTGGTCTACGATCCTGATTGGCTAGTTTTATGTGTAGGTTTTTAAGGTTGGCCTTGATTCTGAGTGCTTCCTGTTAATGCCTAAAATCATAGGGCTTGTGCTTTAGTGATCACTGGGAGCTTAGTTTTCTCAAGAGATTTAATATTGGATGCATCTGGTTTATGTGAGTGAGGAAAGAATATGGTGGGAAGTCTTATGAGTTCATAAATTTTATTTTTTCACTTATAAATTTAAAGGAACATCTGCTGAAAATATACAAATTGGATGTATGTTTCCTGATTCTGTTTTTTTTTTTTTTTTTTTTTTGAGGTGCGAGTAACTGTAGCTTGAACTCAGGGCAATCAACCACTGAGCCACATCCCAGCCCTGTTTTGTATTTATTTAGAGACAGGGTCTCACTGAGTTACTTAGCGCCTCACCATTGCTGAACTCACCATCCTCCTGCCTCAACCTCCTGAGCCCGTGGAATTATAGGCGTGCACCATTGCACACAGCTCTATGTTTTTTATTTGTTTGTTTATTTTTGGAGTGGGGAAGCAGGTACTGGGATTGAACCAGTGGGAGCGTAACTACTGAGTCACATCCCCAGTCCTTTTTTATATTTTTATTTAGAGACAGGATTTCGCTGAGATGCATAGCGCCTCACTAAGTTGCGGAGGCTGGCTTTGAACCTGTGATCCTCCTGCTTTAGCTTCCTGAGCTGCTGGGATTCCAGCTTGTGCCACTGCCTGGCTCTGATTCTGTAATATGCATTTTTTCACATTTCAGTGTAAGGACAAAATATTTTTAAATTTTGCATGATACAGTTGAAGGTGTAATAAATATAATAGTTACAGGAAAGTAAAATGGGAACTTTGTGTATATTTATTTTGATTTTAGGAGATCATGGGAACCCACCCACACCCACACTCTTAGAGTTGCCTGTTGTTTATATGGTCCTTTGCAAATACTTTCTGTAAAATTAAGGTGATAATTTCCAAAGTGGATACTATGAATTAATTTAAAAGTTGTTTACTGGGTATCTACTACATTATAGACGTTGTACCACTTGTTTAATTTAAAAATGTAAAATCATTCTAAGAGCTGCTTCCTGTGTGTTTTATTAACACAGTTATCAGGTCTGGTATCATGCACTATCCTTTTTAATTTGGGGGTAAACAGTTGACTTAATGGGAACCTTGTCAATGACAAAGACAAGGAACTAAATTTACTTTTATGTGTGCTGATAACATTCTCTGAAAGCGGACAGATTATATGTGGAGGAATTTAGCCACTGCTTGTTTGCAATGTTGTGGATTAAACCCAGTGTCTCAAGCCTTCTACCACTGGCTGAGCTACAGCCCCAGCCTGCAATACACCTTATTAAATCCACATTCTGATCTAAGACAGAACTGGACTTTTTGTGGAGTTTCATAGAATTTACAATATAAATTGTTTGCCTATTCTGTGAATAGAAATTTATTTTCTGTCAATATCTTTTTTTACAAGCATCACAAGGAAATATCAACACTTAAATCTTGTAAGCAACCAGCAGGCAAGTACCATATATTATGTTTGCTATATTTTTGGTTGGAGTTTGTCAATAAAAGATTTGGCTGTTTTTTGTTTATTTAAGTCTAAATCTCACTGTTTCTTGTACTTTGCATGTTTGTACCCATTCTTTTTTTTTTTTTTTTTTAATTCTCTCTGTCTATCCTGAATGGATAGTGAACTAAGAGGTAGATGCTCAGTGGGGAATCACATTAGAAGCATATATTGATAACTTTGGAGGGCAATTAGAAGTATCTATCAAAATAAAGTGTGCAGGCTCTTGGGCCTCCTTGTACTTTTTTGTTCAGGTATCTCGCTCATGTCTTGCATGGGTAAGGGAACAGGTTCCCATTGGAGGACTGGGCTGACTCTGAAATAAAAGCTATGAAAGTAGAACCAAGATACAGCCACAGAAGACCAGAAATATGTTTTACAGAACAGGGGCAGTGCCAGGTTAAGCCAATCAGAGGGGGGTGTGGGTATTGGTGCACTTGCCTTATTTATATCGGTATGTATCAAGGGTAGATATAAAGTTTCAGTGTGGGAGGAGTCTTCTCTAGGTGCTTGCTTTTTCTCGGAAAATAGGATATAGGTGTGTGTGTGGGGGGGTAAACAGGCTGTTTGGCTCTTAGTAGGTCATGCCCATCTCAAGTGCTGTGCTAGTGCTTAAGATAAAACTAGGCAGGACACCATGTGAAACAGGCCTTCTCAAACCAGCAGGTTTACTGCTGGGAGTTCCTGATACCAGGCTTTCCTGTCTAATGCTTCAACAACCACTTGTATTTCATGCACAGGTACACTTGTTTGCCACATAGTTTGTGAGAAAAATCTGAAACCACCAGGTGTGGTGGCACAGGCCTGAAATCCTGGCAGCTCTGGAGGCTAGGGCAGGAGGATCAGGAAGCCAGTCTCAGCAAAAAAGCCAGGAGCTAAGTAACTCAGTGAGACTCTGTCTCTAAATAAAATACAAAATATAGCTAGGGATATGACCCAGTTGTTGAGTGCCCCAGAGCAGAGTTCAATCCCCAATAACTACCCCTCCACCCTACCCCCCCAGACCCCCCCCCCCCAAAAAAAATCTGGAAACCACACAGCATGGTGCAGTAGAATTCTTTACAACCTTTAGAAAGAATAAGTATATGTATGGCCTACAGGGAATTTGCTGGTACATGCGTTTTTTGTTTGTTTATTTATTTTAATTTTAATTTTTTATTTTTTTGAGAATACAAAACAAACAGTGGTTGTTTTAGGCTTTGGAGGGACTCAGGAGTCTAGGAGGAAACTTATTTTTCAATTAAAGCTTCCTGTAATTTTTGAATTATGTTGTGTGTGTGCTGGTTTTAGTTTTTTAAAAGAACATACGAAGACAGATAAAATTTTAACAGTCTTTCCAAAGCATTAGAGCTTTAGCACTGGTTATGACTTTAGACATTCTTACACAGTTGTGCCTTTAATTTACAGATGAGAAAATTTAGATTTAGGGATGGGACTGTGGCTCAGCAGTAGAATACTTGCCTTGCATGTGTGAGGCCCTGGGTTGTATTCTCAGCACCACGTATAAATAAATAAAGATCTATCAACAACTAAGGGAAAAATATTTTTTTTAAAAAGATAGATTAGATTTAGCTAAGTATCTTCGAAGATTGCACTAGAATTCAGGTCCCAAGGATAGCAGTAGCTTATGAATGTATTGACTTGTTTTGTTCTTATTCTAAGTTTATTTAACTGATGGCCATTTCTCATGGTGAAGAATTGATTTTGGAAGACCCAATAAAATGTTGACCTTTGTAAGACAATTCTTAGAGTAACAACCTCTAGCAGTAATGATAAAATGTTAACTCTTCCCACATTTTAGAACATTGAAGTACTCAATACCTTAAAAGTGAATTTATGTATGAAACTTTGAAGTATTTATTTGAATGAATTTGTATCTAGCGTCTGGAGATTCCCTGTTTGATTTAAATATCTAGCTGACTATTCTGTATTTTTAAAATTGATTTTTATTTATTTATTTTTTTTTCCACCAGTGTCTAGGGGTGAATAGATGGCTAAGATAGTCTTGTGGTATCTAAATGGCTTGCTATTTAAAGGCAAAATTATCTGTAAGAGATGGTGGAAAGGGGCTGGAGTTGTGGCTCATTGTTAGAGCACTCACCTAGCACATGTGAGGCACTGGATTCAATCCTTAGCACAACACAAAAATAAATAAAATAAAGGTATTATGTCCAACTATAGCTAAAAAAATAAAAGAGATGGTGGGAAATTGCTTAAAGAAGGAAATTTTATGTATTGAGGAGAAGCTCTCAGTTATTGAATATATGAAAGTTCTTTTAACTCTTCAAGACCAGAAACATTTTTGCATTCAAACCATCCAAAGAAGTTGGTCATGAGGCCAGGCTTGGGAGGCTAAGACAAAAGGATCCCAAGTTCAAAGCCGCCTTAGCAAAACCAAGTTGCTAAGCAACTCAGTGAGACCCTGTCCCTAAAGAAAATACAAAAAACGGCTGTGGATGTGGCTCAGTGGGTGAGTGCCCCTGAGTTCAATCCCTGGTACCCCCAAAGATAAATAAATAAATTGGTTATGGTAAGATTGACAGTTAAGTATGGAACTATTGGGGATATAGCTCAGGACCTAACATGCACAAGGTCTTGGGTTCAATCCCCAGCACCATTAAAAAAAAAAAAAAAAAAAGTAAACCTCATGTTTTGGGCTGGGGTTGTGGCTCAGTGGTAGAGCACTCGCCTAGCAAGTGCGAGGCTCTGGGTTCGATCCTCAGCACCACATAAAAATAAATAAATAAAATAAGTATGGAACTGGGCATTCAGACTACATTCAATGAGTATTTTTTGATTAATCGAGTTTAGGGCTCAAGCAGTAGAAACCCATTTATTAATGTTAAGATCAATTGTTAGATTTGAAATTAAAAATCTACTTGTGACTCTTCTACTAGCATAGGTGGAGAAAACATACTTTTCCAAAATTTAATTGATACATAGTCATATCTCAAAATACTCTAAATATTTGATAATAATTTGACTAGGCTGACATAAAAAAATCTGCTTTGAAGCAAAGAATTTTCAGGAAGTAAAGAAACCTTTCACATATTGAACATCAGAGTCAAATTAATTTTTCTGTGCCGTTTTAATTAGTAAAGGTTTGGTTGAGTTGAGAAGGAGAAAAGGTTGTAGGAGCCAAGAACAAATAGATTTGCAAATTTATCTTTGTAACTCTGTATTCTTAAGAAGGAATCCAGTTTGTATAGCCACTTTAATTAATTTTTTTAAACATTTATCTTTTAGTTGTAGGTGGACACAATATCTTTATTTTTATGTGGTGCTTCATGCATGCTAGACAAGCACTCTACTTCTGAGCCACAATCCCAGCCCCACTTTAATTAATTTTGTCATGGATGTAGACTGAGCAGTGGAACTGGGTGGCTTAATATGAACAGATAACTTAATTTGGTCACATTAGATAAAACTGGAAAGCTAGGTTGGGAGTATTAATGTTGCACGTATTTTTTGGTTCCTAGTATCTTTTCTGGTAATGCAGAAAATTTGGTTGGTTCCTTGATTCTACATAGTGCCTCACCAATATCTTTCTTGAGTTATTACAGTTTATCTGTCATTGAGCCTGACATCCTTAATTATAGCCTGATTGTATCTCACTAATGTATTATTTTTCATTTTACTCACTTTGAAATACTTGATTCCTTGGGGCTGGGGTTGTGCTCAGTGGCAGAGCACTCGCCTTGCGCATGTGAGGCACTGAGTTCAGTCCTCAGCACCACATAAAAACAAACAAAATAAAGATTTTTTTTTTTTTAAAGAAAGAAATTCTTGAGCCCAACATCTCCTTTTTATAGCAAAACTGTGGGGAATGATAGTCTGACTTCTGGTCTTTGCTCTTCTGCATGTAATAAATACATCATTGGGCAAGCCACTATTCTGGTTTGGGGTTCAGTTTCCTGATCTCTAAAACAAAATATAGTTCTAGATTTGTTTTATTAATTCCTTTATTCATCAAACATTTATGAAGCACCTTCTGTGTGCCAGACATAATACAAGATGCTCTGGGTACAGTCCTTGTCCTTGAAGAGTAATCCAATTGAAAGAACTTCTTTCATTTTATTCAAAATACACATTTTTTGGTGGTGGTGCGTGGGGATCAAGCCTAAGGCCTTGTACTTGCCTGCTCTCTACTATTAAACCACATCCTCAGTTCATTTTTTTTTTTTTTACTTTATTCAAATCAGCTTTGTCTTTTACTTCTGGATAATCATGGGGTATTAACAGTTTTCTTGATTTTTTACTATAACCCTATAAAATATTTATTTAAAATGGTATTGTTTATATTTTCATCTCTAAAAATACTCATGTCTTGCTGGGCACAATGGAGAATGCCTATAATCCCGGGGGTTAAGAAACTGAGGCAGGAGGATTGTGAGTTCAAAGCAGCCTCAACTTCTTCATGAGGCACTAAGCAATTCAGCAACACCCTGTCTCTAAATGAAATATAAAAAAGGGCTGGGGATGTAGTTCAGTGGTTTAATGCTCCTGGGTTCAATTCCCAGTGCAACAACAACAACAACAACAACAACAAAAAAAAACCCTCATGTCTCTACCCTTTTTTATTTGTAAGCCAGTTTCCATTCTGGAAAATAACCCCAGCTCTCTGGTTCCATTATGATCAGGTTTTTTGTTTAATTAAAAGAAAACAAACTATCTGTATCCTACAGAATAAGACTTAGTGAGCAAAAAATAGTGATTTTTCTTTTTTTTTTTTTTTTGCAGTGCTGAGAACTGAATAGAATAAGATTTAGTAGTCAGAAAAACTAGTGATTTTTTTTTTTTCTTTTTTAAAGTTCAGGGTTTGAACCCAGGGTCTTGTACATGCTAGGCAGGTTCTCTATCACTGGGCTATACTCCCAGCCCTAAACTAGTGATTTTTTTAAGGCAAATAAAAAGTAAAGGCAGAGTCTAGAGATGTGGTTTTACAGTTTT